AGTTCGCCGCACTAATGCAGCGCCTTATGCACGGCCGCGCAGACTAATCAAGCTATGCACGCCCCACTATCACCGTGCCGCCCAGTCGTAGCTCCGGGATCGCACGCACAGACTACCGCGCCTCCGTTCTGGCCGGCGGTCGAACTTAGTGGGGGCTGCTTTAGCGCTGGCTATTTCTCTCATTTCTCGCATGCTATGCATAAGCGTGGGGCGCGGCCAAGGTATCCATACAATATACTTACTTCGAGCTAGGCTACTAGCTAGTCCGTAGTATAGGTGGCTCTCTGAAGTATATATTAGGTACTCTTTTTATAGCGTTACCATCATATGCACTGTCGTTCCAAGGCCCGTGCTGTCCCTCGACTTAGTACGCATCACGTATAACACCTAGATGTATACCGAATCGACTAAAGCGGCTGTCCCTGATCGCCTGGCCGTCTTGCCAGTGGTTGGTTCATGCCAAGATGTGCGAGGTGGTGCCACTTTCTCAACAATTTTTCCTTTGAGATACAACGCCCGGGATACAGATGCCCCTTGGGAACGTGTGGTCGACAGGGATGTTAGAAGGTCAGGTGGTGCTCGGTGCAGTGCATTGCAGAAGAGGCGCGTCTAGGATTTACGTGACGTGCGACATTGCATAGTCAGCCCATCTGCGCTGCTTGCGTGCGATTTTCTTATTCTTGACCTATCAGCAGCTGTGGGCCAATCACCGTCGCGTTCTCTATCTTGTGCCAGAAATATGAATTCCGCAGGGTTGAAACGGGTTGAAACGCCTATGCTATGCGACACGTAATTAATTGGGATGATTGGCTGGTTACAACGGCTCCAATTGTCGTCTGGAGGTCTAATCGGAAGATTGGATACATCTTCATTCTGGTGTATTCGAGTGTACTCTGGATGATTATATAGGATACCTGGGCAGATTCTATTCTACAACCATACCATATCCCATTGGCAGATTCAGATCTAACCATCGTCAACCGACGCGAACCCTGGGGTATAGCTCGCGGGGTAAGAAACCTTAGGGAGCATAACGCAAATCAGCATCGCCCCGACCCCTAGAGTCCGTATCAACGTCAAGTTCGCAAAGTATGCACCATAAACGCAAGAGCTGACGCCAGCCGTATCCACGCGGGGTAGCTAGGGCTCTCTAGGAATTGCGCTGCCCCTCACTCATTTCACTGCCCTGGTCTCGTTAATGCATGCTATTCACGCTTCATTTCCTTTTGGTTCTTGGCAAGCAGTGACTGCAGCCTGGACACGCCGCTGCCCAAAGCGGGCGCGTTCTATAACCAAGACGAAGCAGTGGAAGTCTATGCTTAGCAGTATCTGGTCGAATTGCGCGATATGATTCTGGAACTGCGCCGGCCCGGTCGATGGCCTAGAAAAATCTGGGTTCAGCCACGCTAGCGCCCTCGGGCTAAGTTGCAGTTTGGAATTGTCGCCAGCGAGACAAGGCGAATTTCAAGGAGCACATCACTCCGAGCATGTTAGTTCGCCTGTTGAAAACGTCTCAATCTGTAAATGTTGAAATTGCAAGGTGAAATTGCAAGGTGAAATCGCATCTGGGCGATCATTTTGAGAGTAGATTCGCGAAGGGCTCGCAATCTGTCAGAAAGTAAAACCTAAGATTGAACTCTGTGATCTCGATGTTCACATATGAATATACTTCTGATAGGTTCTGATCTGACCGCTCCGACGCTTCGAACCTATAACAATTTCCATTATTTAAGGGTTGTGGGTTATAACTTAATTCGGGTTTGCCGTGGACCGGACAACCGATGGAGGGGTTCTCCGATTTCGGGATCAAATTAGAGAAAAGAAAAAGCAAAAAGCGCACGGAACTTTCCGGGGTCTTGGCGAGAAGGGGCTAAACGAACGTTATCGCCCTGCAGCTCTTGCGACCTTGCCGCTCACCGAGACGTTCGTATTGGAAATTGAGCATCCCATCAGAACTGTATCGGGTATTCAGTCCGTGGATAGGGTTTTGCGGGACAAACTCCATCCTGAAAATGAGGGGTTGAAAATCTGGAGATTAACATCCTAGCCTTGTGCAGATCAGAAGAGTTCGAGACTGTCGAACAGTTGGGAGTCGAGACTCTGACCGGCTACCCACCATGCGCCATGGAGGGTTTCAGGGCTTCGCCAATCTCATGGCATCCGAGGAGATACTTTATTGAATAAAACAATCGCAGACATAGCGCCATCTGAAAGCCACTTATTTTGTTGGGTTCAATGAACAGAGTGGCAAAAGAAAAAAACTCTGCACCGCGAACACAACAAAGGGGTTGGTGGCCCGGGCCTGGGGGTCGATACTCCGTGAAGAGGACGGGAAGGCTTTGGAAATAAGATTTTATAAAAAAAGAACATTATAATAATCACTTGTATGACACTTAATTGGTGAGACAGAGATGATAGTCGCCTTAGGGGCTGAAGGGATCGTGAAACGCGGAAAACCAATTCAGACATTGACCTTGGTCACGAGAGTTTCATAGCTACTGTATACGACTCAGTGATTAATGCAATCAATGGAACTTGACTTCCAAGCTCGAGCATGCCACTTCAACTCTTCACTACATATGCTCCTTGAAAATATTGTAGGAAGAAAAGAATATGCATCATGATACTTCCAAGATTTATGAAATGTCTTTGAGTACAAAAGGATACAAATTCGTTATGCTGCACGAGCGACCGGGGGTCCAGACCTCCCGCCAAGTGGACGAAAACCAAGGCATCGGGGGGCTATCAAATGCACCTTGACGTCATCGACTATTGGCGTGGAAATACCACAACTCTATATATTATTCTGTACTCGGTATAGATACGTGATTTCGGGTCTGCATTCGGACATTGGAATATCCTCTGGAGGATTCGTGATCGATTCCTGATTTCTTCAGTTATTACACTAATCCGATTGGAAATCATCCGATCAACTTGATCAACTCATCGCCATATCTCCATACTCCATACTCCATACTATTCTCCATTCTCAAGGTCCGGTGGAGCCCTGAGATCCACCAAACTCCGGAGTACAGCACAAGTGCACTTACAATGACCGAGACTATATTCAAATGCACCATGCACGTCAGTGGGATTTCGTACATCAACTGGACAACGGTGAAATTCTTGTTCTCAGTTTGATATCTACGGAATTGGACCATGGTCGTGTAGCGGGAAAGGGAACCCGCTGTTGTTCCACCGCAGATAACAGGTTCAAATGTAGAGTCCCCGGATGTCAAAAAGTCTCGATAACAGTGTATGATCGAATTTACAATTCTAGTCACTGATTTCCCTCTTTCTGATTTCTCTAGCCATTTCTCTAGTTTACATTGTAGTCCGACCGGACGGTACGACAACTCCAGAGTAACTTCCAAACCCCTTTACACTTGAAGATTTCACATATGCTGCAACACGGTGTAGTTGAGGTGCGAAAAGGAGAGATGAGTGGATATTATGCTTCTAGCACTTGCATGGCGCAATCTACCTATCCCTAGTTACCTGTGCGCGCCAAACCAAAACAAAAGAAACAGTTGACTCTTCTACCTGCCACAGCCTAGGAGAATCTGGTAAAAACCGGTTTTGGCTGGGCCGATCCATAAATCTCGACCAATCTTTGGACCACGGGCCTTAATTCTTAGTCAATTGATAAGGGTACCTAGGTAGATCAGTGTACCACACATCATATCTCAATGGCACTGAAGAGAGGTTGAATAAATGATAAGAGTATATTTTTTACGCATTTTGATGTTTCGGGCATACTAGTAATGATAGGTGATACAAAATGATATGCGTCAGGTCAAAAACAGGGAATACAGGTTGAAGCATACTTAGTGTACATGACCTCTTAGCGCCTGTGGGCTATGGAGGTCTGTAGTCCGCTAATTGTGACACTAGGGGGAACGGCCAGTGCATTATAGTGACCTCGCAAAGTGTAGGATCGTCCACCGTGCTCGTGCGAATAGACCACATGTCGGAGAATTTAAAAAAGAAAAAATGAAGAGAGATGGAAACAGGAGATAGTGGTGAGAGCAATTTAGGATGTCTAGGGTATATTCATGGGATCAACTGCAACCAGACAATTGACAATAGAATGTATAAATCGAAATAGATAAATGATAAAAATGTAGTAAAAGAAATGGAAAATAGAAAATAGAAAAAAAAGAGGAAAAAAAAGAAAAAAAAGTCAGTTATCCCCCACCTATACGGAACGCACTGACCTTGGTGGTATCGAAGCGGAGTCTATGCAAAGCAGACGCACCTGGACAATAAATTTTATCAATGGCACAATTATCTTTATTTATCTTTCTTTTAAATTTAGGCATTTTCGATTTCTGATTTCTCGCAAAAAGGTATAATACCGGATTTTTATCTCTTTTCTGATGAATCTTTTCTTTACACCTCCCCGGCTTATCTTCTCTCAACAGTCATAGCGGGAATGGCTGCTTGATTTGCCACTATAACTTCCAAGGTTATCTGGTACTTCCAAGGTACCTTTAAATCACCTCTCTCCCTTGATCGCGGCTGTGCCGGGAGCTTGACTTTTTTCTTTTTTCTTTCTACTTTTTTATATGTACATCTTGTCTCTTCTCTGTACTATTTTGTTCAACATTTCCTTTCGCCGATACTCTGGCTAATACCTTATCGCCACTCGATGTTCATACTTCACGGTATTGATAAGCTCTCTCCTTCCCCGGGCCTCAATTGACCCAGACCCAATTCCCTTCAAAGTTATCTCTTGTCTGTGTGTTACCTGTGCAACCTCGACTTTTCCACTGGCACCTTCCTCAAGTGTCACCCCACTCCCAATCTATACCCTGATGAAATGGCATGTCTTTCCTCGCCTCTTGCCACTCCTTGACCTTTGCCACAATGCTCGGAATTTAATAAAGCATTACTGACGGCAAAGCTACTTCAGGCACTTTATTGTGATTGAAACATTGGAGCTCCCTCGACTCTTACCTTTTATCCCCTTCTTGTGTTGAAACACACAAGTCGGCCGGATGCCATACACTGCGCCGTTGAAGACGTTGCTCTCCGCGCAGCACATTGAATACTCCCAACCAACCGAAGTGCCTTCTGAGCGGCCCGGTTTGGCTCGCTCCACGTCGGCACGGGTTCAGAATTCCCGTTCGTATTCCTCTACCTCATATACTCGTCGTCATCGGAGGAGCCCTTCGAACACCAAATCGATAGTGCACTCCGCTCCAGAAACCCCAGCCCGGGCCTCCCCCTCTATCGATCCACATGCTAGTCTCCGTCAGTCCCCACCACCGATAAGCAATGCTATCATCCCTCCTGGGGCCGTAATCTCACCTCCTGAGTCCGGGCCGAACTCAAGTGATGAGGAATCACCACACCGGCATAGCGAGGGTGTCAAGTTTGACGAGCTGGAGGCTGCCGTTCGATCAATCAAATTGAGGAGGGAGAGTTCACCGGAAAGAATGGCTCCATCAGACCAGCCAGAAACGCCGGCTCGGCCCTCGTCCTCGAGTCCGCCGTCGACCACTGAGGCAAGGCCCACTCGGCCCAAGCTCCCTCACCTACCATTGTCCAAAGAAGCTCGCAAGATCAGTCACTCTCGATCATCCACTGAAACAGCCATCGATTTGGCTCGAGAATCGGCACTTACTAGCTCGCCCGAAGAAAGTGACATGGAGATGTCGTCCAGGCCCCCAATGGTCCGCAAGAAGTCAGGTGAGCTTGTTCGACCTGCTCTACGCCCTTCTTCCTCACGGCGACGACCATCCAGCATGCCGGGTACTCCCGTCTATTCTAAGGCGGTGCACTTCGACGCCCACTTGGAGCATATCCGTCACTTCCTCCAGCTGGACAGGCCATTAGCTGTCAGCACAGAGACGTCACCAGTTGATGACCACGATGCCAAGGGTGAGTTTCCCTTCGGCTCTGCTGACTTGCTCGGTCCGTCGTGGGAATGGGAGATCAAGCTCGCCAATTGGCCTAAGGATATCTCATCACGTGCCAATCGTCCCGTCCGCCTCGAGCGATTGTTCCTATCGGCCGATAAGAGCACTTTGATCGGCACTGTGGCAGTGGCGAATCTTGCTTTCCACAAGAATGTTACTGCTCGTTTCACTCTGGATTATTGGAGGACTACCTCGGAGGTTTCAGCGGCATACTGCCATGATGTTCGCCGGCAGCAAGCTGCCGATGGGTTCGATCGCTTTTCATTCGATCTCAAGCTGAACGATCAAGCCAATCTGGAGAAGAAGACCATGTTCATGTGTATCCGCTATAACGTGGATGGACAGGAATATTGGGATAACAATGATTCGGTGAACTATCAGGTCGATTTCCACAAAGTGCCCAAGACCACCACGGGCAAGCCTGCAAATGGCGGATCTCGCCCTGCTCTTCCACGCAGCCGATCATTCACCAGCTCTCATGCCATGCAATCGCAGTCCAAGCCGCCTACCTACGATTTCCCCGAGCTCAGCGAGAAGACGCCGTTCACGAACCCTTTCAATGATACGAATGGTGGCCCCTTGGCTCGCACGCCCTCGGATGACATCGATACGGTCGCGCCGCCCAAACGCCGTGAAAAATCCAACCGCCAGGCATTTGGGAACCGGTACGACTTCGGAGCGTCGTTATCTGCTGCTATGCGGTCAAAGGCGCCTCTGGATCGGACCGCTCTGACTGCCCGTGCAAGATCCGGGGAGACTGTGGAGCCCGAGATCTCCAAGCCGACTAAGAAAATACCCAGTTTTGAGCAGGGCCATGGTTCTGCAGTGAGCGATAATTTCCGCGCTGGAGGTCGTGTGGGAGATCTAAAACCTTCCTCTTTGGTATCTAGCAAGCCACAGCTCGAGTCTTCCGTGTATCAGGAGTTGGTCGATAAGTACTGCTTTGTGAGTTTCTCAACAACAAATCACACCATGGCAGTCAACTAACCTCTTATATAGTATGGGTCTCCGCAAGGATCGAACCTGAAGACACAAGCATCGATCTCCAGCGGTCGTGAGGGTGAGGCCCCAAAGCATATCTCCGCCCCAGCCTGTCCTTCGCCGCCGTTGTCTCCTCGGTCTCTTGCTCCTCTCGGTGCTCCCGTTAGCCCACGTACCTCTCCACTGCCCTCAGCCTCCCCCATGGCTTTTCGCCATCCCTTCCACCACAATTTCATGAACGACCCTCACTCTCCAACGGTCATTAGAGGGTGAGTAACATAGACCGTTATATAAGCGTCCAACCTGGCTGTGATTCTTCCGGTCGGCCTTTAAAGCATCTCGTTTGACGACTTCCGTGACGGGAGTCTGGTAGTCCCTGTGTGGAACTGGACAGATCCGTTGGCCCAATTTCGACCACTTTGACCCACCGCATATCGGCACTCTGGTGGGACTATGCTTTTTTCTTTTGACTCTCCAACATTTCCTGCTCTATCCGCGCGTGGTTTCGGCCAGCAGCACATGTGAGCGATTGTCTTTGCGATGTATAATAAACCGCGGACGTTTCGTTGAATCATTCGTTGTGTGGCTCATTACCACAGTCGTCGGTCCAAATTATCGACGCGCAACTCTTGACTAGTGCGGTTATTCTCACGATTTCTTTGTTTACCTCTGCGTCCGCTCTAGGCACGCATGATGACGCTACGATTCCTTTTTCGAGGCATTTTTCGATTCTTTGCTGTTCTTTCCTGGATGGCCCTTCCTTTTCAACGCAAAAAGTTTTTAGTATGCCCGCCTCCGCTCTTGATCTCGATGCATTGCACTTTATGGGCTTTTTTGATTGCATGGTGTTCTGGCGTTCTCTCTTTCCTGCTTTTTTCCCGCTTGTTGTTCCGATTTCTTCCACGATACTGTCTACCTTTCAGGTCGGACATTGACAGGGGACGCGAAAATATGATGCGAAGATAGCGATACATGACTGCCTACTATATATGTCCACGGGTAGGCAACGCGACGTAGTTTTGAAATGATACGAGACATGATGAATGCGACCGACTGGATCTGACCTTTTCATTGGTAGTTTGTTAGGATAGCTTCCAAACCGAAAGCATCCTCCCGGCACTCAACAAAAATGCTAGCCACACGTTGAAAAGCTAAGGAGTAGAGGAGATGAAGTTCACATTCATTCGAGTGGTGGAGTCGTGGGGTATAGTTCCCGATTAGGCTAGCGCAATCTCTATCTTATCAGCACGTGATCAGTATCAATGTCGTTCGACACAGGAAAATGCGGGTTCATCGATGCCTGGTAGACGCGCTGGAAACCGGCCCTTCATAACACCTTTTTTCTTTTCCCGCCGCCCGCCAATCACCGCCGCATTGCAGAATGATGGATAAATGTCTCGCTTACCTAAAATACTTACTTTCCGGATCACGCGTAATTGGCTTTCTTATTTAAACCGCCCTCCCCCTCCATTTAGTCACTTTCTTATTTTTTCCCCTCTCTTATCCTCAACGCCAACTCATTAAACGCGTGTTTTTCATCGTTTATTGACAACACAGACCTCGATCCATCTACTTTTCTACATATTTTCAATTCTTCCTATCTGAACTATGTCTGGACGTAAGTATTTCTATCATTTTCACGTGTTGTTGTCACTATATACCCTCATCTCTTTGTTGGCGTGGTGAAGTTACCAAAATCAGAACTGGTGATGCCCCTGCCGGCACGTGATTCAGGCCTCAGGCACAAACTGCATCCAGCCTTTCCTAATTAGGAAAGGCTGTTCACCTTGACGCATCTTAACACAACCTCCAACGACCCTCAACACCCCTACTCTTCATCCCTTTTATATTATCTGCCCCAAACACTAAATCTTATTGTCCTCATACAATTCTTCAAACAATAACTAACAAACCCAAAACAGGCGGCAAAGGCGGAAAGGGCCTCGGCAAAGGCGGCGCCAAGCGCCACCGCAAGATCTTGCGCGACAACATTCAGGGAATCACCAAGCCTGCCATTCGCCGTCTCGCCCGCCGTGGCGGTGTCAAGCGTATCTCCGCCATGATCTACGAAGAGACCCGCGGTGTGCTCAAGTCCTTCCTTGAGTCCGTCATCCGTGACGCTGTCACCTACACCGAGCACGCCAAGCGCAAGACCGTCACTTCCCTCGACGTCGTCTACGCCCTCAAGCGCCAGGGCCGTACTCTCTACGGCTTCGGTGGTTAGATCAGTCTTGCGACATGCGACTCATCACTCACTCACTGTGAGGTGCTGTGCCGGTCGGAGGCTTTTACTTAATGCGCTACGGTGTGATGGGTTTCTCTTTTTGCGCGTCAATGGCTATGGGGTTTAGGGAATTTCTTTGGGACTGCTTTTATGCCCCCTGAGTTGGGATCTTTTCTTTCGTGGATAATGGACCATCGGTGTCCTTCATAACTAGTTGCTGGTAGGCTCTCAGGTTGACTGTCGAATTCAATACAACGTCTGCTATCAGTCATTTTTTTCTTTCGCGGTTTGTATTTTGGAATAGCAAATAATTTCTGCAGTTAGGGGAGTAGATTTGACTCTGTATGCTGTCTTCAATAAATGACGATGCCATTGTAAGGTGGAAGGTCACGGGCGGAGCCTAGTTCCCCGAAGTTTTCCCCCAACTTTAAACTCCCTTTCAGCACAGAGCTCACGTATAGAACTACATACGTACTAAGTTTTCCTTCCTATTCCACCAGTCATTGCAAATATGGCCTCATCTTTTGTAAAAGGAAGGTTTTTCTACCCGCAGGAGACTGCCCGTCATGCTGCGACCATTCTCGGATTCCCATCCAAAGTCTCCATCGTCTCGGCGTACTACCAAAGCGCATGTGTCGACATTGCCAATCTGGCCTCCGTCATTTCGGCTCATGAGCCAGTTCGACTGTATGCGCGACCAGAAGATGTACAGAGAGCAAAGTCAATGGTTAGCCAAGCTATTACAAAATATCCGAGTGACACGTCGAATATCTCTGTCATCCCGTCTCTCACAAATCACCTTTGGGTCCGCGATACAGGCCCTGTCTACGTACATGGAGTTGGCGAATCCGTTCACCATCGCTTCGCAATCAACTTCCGTTTCAGTGAATGGGGAAGAAAATATGACCTTGGCGCCCAGGACCGGGCTTCAGATGGGCGTGATTGGCCTGTGATGACGCCTGAACAGATCGAAGAAAACGCAAGTTTTGCCCGCAGGATCGTCGAATCCGATGTTCTCCCGTCTCCGGTGACTCTACTGGAATCAAAGATTTGTTTGGAAGGTGGTGCACTAGTTGTGGATGGCGAAGGCACGCTTTTGGCCACTGAAAGCAGCATTATCAACGAAAATCGCAACCCGGGCCTTTCTAAGACCGCGATTGAGACAGAACTCCGCCGTCTCTTGGGCGTCGAGGAAATCATCTGGTTCCCCGGCAGAAAGGGTCTGGATGTTACTGATGTGCATGCTGATGCTGAAGTCAACTTCGTCCGGCCCGGAGTTGTTGTCCTCTCCCGGCCCCATTCTAGTGCGCCAAAGCCGTGGCTGGAGGTTTTCGAAGAGATCAAGGAAATTCTCGGGCGGTCGGTCGATGCGAAGGGTCGCCCTTTCGAGGTACACGTAGTAGACGAGCCGAACCCCAAGATCTTCGGGGTCTTATCTCACGATGAACCGGCGACTAATTATGTGAATTTTTACTTTGTCAATGGGGGGCTTGTTCTTCCCCAGTTTGGTGACCGTCGGCGAGATCAAGAGGCCCTGGTACTGTTTCAAAAGCTGTGCCCTGATCGCGTGATTCGGCCAGTGTTTGTGTCTGCGCTTCCATTGGCCGGGGGTGTGATTCACTGCGCAACCCAACCAGTACTTTCTGTGCGTGAATAGTACCATTTATCGGCAAGGTGAAATAGTCACATTCTCCTAGCCTACCGTTCTATGTATTTATATCGTTTATATTTTGATCTCAAAAGAGATCCGATCACAATACCCGAAGAGGAAGTCCATACGCCGATCAAGCCTAGGCGATCCTGGGGAGAGCGGGGAAGTCGCCGATCTTACCGGGGAACCTCTCTGAATCATACAACAAACTCTGACATCCATCTTCGAAACTGACCGGACTGTGATCTCTTGCTATTTCTACTGGCAAATTCGCCCTAAAAAGATGGCGAAGGCCTGCGACCACTGCAACTTGAGTAAAGAGAAAGAGACTTGTACTACAGGTGCTAGTCCGACATGCATCAGATGTAGTCGTCTGAAGATCGGTTCCATCGGTCGTCATACCAAACGAATGAGACATCGCTCTTCTGCCAAAGTCCTCCCATATGGGGATTTGCAGGTTTCCACTCTCGTGTCGCGACAGCGCGCCAAATCCAAGGAAAGCGAGAGCCATGCCTCGTCTTCCTCATCTTCCTCATCTAGCCCAGGCTCATCTTTGAGCTCGCCTGTCAGGAATGACTATCCTTGGACACCAGAAAGCCCCGATGCCATGATAATCTCACCTGAGAAATTGCTCGCCGCCCCCACAACCTTCCAAACAACATCAGATGCGTTCCGCACCATTATGGACGTGGAACAATTCTCAGTCATACATGCACCATTTGTATTTGGAAACAGTTTTATTCCGCTATCCCAAAAGGTTATTTACGTTATTTTGCAGCTATCCGCCCCGGTGCTGACCGAAGGATACCTGGCATTCCTAGGACTGATGACAAATTACCAAAAGTCCCCTGTTATACGCCGGAGCGAGCCCGATGTGTTCAAGGCTGCGAAGGGATTGCAACGTCTGAGAAGTGTAGAAATCTCAAACGATTACGACGCGGCTTGCGCTCTCTTCCTGGGCCAGACTATGTACGTGTTCGACGTACTCACGACACCATACTCCAGTACTGCCCACGCTATCATTCGGAGCTCCCTTATGTCGGCCAAAGCATGGCTCCCCAGAATGGTGCAAACTCCGATCATGGACACAATAACCATGACGCCGATTCTGGTCGACACGGTCGAGTGTTTAGTGCACCGTGAGATTCCTATAATACGACTCAATCCTCAGCGTCGCGTCATCGTTGACCGCTATCTTGGCCTCTGTGCAACACTCCTCCCTCATCTTCACGACATCTGTGTGTGTAGCAATGCATTAAAGAGAGAAGCTCCTGCTGTCGGATCTGAATCACACTCAGCGTTTCATGACAGACTGGATGAGATAGAGGAGACGATCCGACGCTGGCGGCCACAAACCCCTACCGGCCTGTTCGAAAATTACGGCCAGCATGCGGTTTTAGCAATGGTGACACAAGCAAATGTTTATCGTCTGGCGGCTTTATTGATCCTCCACCGGCTGCGATATCCGCTTGGAGTCGAGGATGAGGCAGCGTGGAAACTTGCAAATGGAATATTTTCTGAGTTGTCGTTCTTTGCCAAATCGGCGGCCAGTTTAAAGGATACCAGCGCGCTGCCTGTTGTATTTCCTTTGACGATGGCCATGTTTGAAATATCCGGGCCCGGGGAAGATTTGGTGGAACGCTTGACGTCTTTCACTGTTCAAAGTGTATGTGTGGCGCGGCTTCAGGAATTTGTGAAGGTAGCCAGGGCGTTGAGAGAGTCTGCGTTTGAAGGCATTTGGTTTGACTTGGCTGATACACATCTTCGTGTTGCAATGCCACCATAGCTTTGGGTTGGTCCCAGCGATGCTTTTATGTATAATACTTTTTCAGGGGATTGTGGCTTGCTCCAACGGATCAGATGGCTCTGTTTTATTATGTTGTCAGCTCTTTTGTTACTCCATTGAACTCTTGTCGTTATATCCGCTGAATCTAAGTGCATAGCCAGTAATTCCGCAAACTGCTATCCTCTTCTGCCTTGAATATCTCCAGACCATCGAATAGTTGTAACAATTATGCATGATTGTTGAGTACATATGAAGGGGTAACAGCATTGGCAATCAGTCTTAAATCTCTTATTCGTACCAAACGTCGGCCTTCATTGATTTGACACTTCAGGGGGAGACTGAGCAGTGCGATCCGATTCACTCGGCAGGCACCATTCCTCTCAGAACTTCCCACTCATCCTCCAGCATGGATAAACTGACAATATCATGCCAAGCACGACGATGGTATACAGCCTCACGTTCGCGACCTTCGTCCACAAATCCAAGCTTTCTGTAAAGCTTCAATGCATTATGGTTGAACGAAAACGCGTCTATAGAGACTCTATGCAGTCCAAGATGTTGAAATGCCCAGTCCAGTGCCCAGTTAATAGCTTCGCCGCCGTAACCTTTTCCCCGGAACCCGTCCGCAAGTGATATTCCTATCGTCGCATTGCGATGATGAGCGTAATTTGGTCCAGCCACGCTGAAAAGGCTCACGTGGCCGATTGGGACTGGCTTGGAATTTTGAACAGGTTGATCCAAGATTTGGGCCTCAGTTGAGGAGTTTGTTTCTGCTTCGGCGGAATTCTGAGGGAGACATATAACCACACCTAGAATGGCATCTTGAAGTAATTTGATGAACTCCTCTGCGGACCTTTTGTGAGATGGGCGTGGGAGACGTCCAGTGCTCAGCGTTTGTATTGTAGGGTCGTTGATTAGAGCGTGGAAAAATGCAATGTCTTCGGAGTGCTCTGGGGCTCGGTAGACGAGTCTAGACTTGGAAAGTCCTTGTAGGGCTTGGGAGGTTGCCATATTGGGAGATCAGAGATCAGAAATTAGTGTTGGAATTTAAAGGCTGCCCGATTTCTTGGGGACTATGGATAGCTTTATATGAAAGATGAGCGGGAAATACCTGGGCAGCCCTTTTGGTAATAAACCAATTAGCTTCCAGCGTTGACGCCCTGCTGCATTGGGGCCAAAGTTAGGTAAGCACTATCGGCGTCCAGGATTGGACTAGCCAACGAGAAGGTAATATCGGGTCCCGATTAGGTCGCATCGGATGTCGCAGGTGACCTATAACCGGAAGAGCAAAGGAATCGATATGTATATAAATTGGTCAAACAAGCCTAGGGCACCAACACTATTACCGTATTACGATATATATGAACTTGTTGTCTTTATTCCGTTCCTTGCTACCTATTGGGTTACAAGGAAACATCACAGAAATAATTAGACACCGAGCGTATACCTTTCTATATAACTCCACTATATATCCTTCGCTCTCCTTTGGTCACCTTCTTGCTTTTTTTTTCCGTGAGCATTTGTGTAGGGGAAATGTTATCCTTTATAATATCGTATCTTAGGGATAGATGACCTAGATACAGACATGTACATCTGTTGAGATAGATCATCTGCCGGCGCCTGGTTGCCAGGCTTCCACCGAGCATAAAAATAGTTAACTAGCTTCTGTTTGTCGTAGTGAATACAACAACCTTCCTCTCTCTTGTCAATATCAAAAGCTATATGGCTTAGGAGACTAGGAGGGTATACGGCAGGCGCTAATTCGAAGCCCTCGGAGACATGCCCGAGGAGCATTTCCCCATCCACGCCCCGATCGCCGGCAGAGGAATTTAATCGCCCAGTCTTTAGCGAAACTGTGATGCCAAAGACCTTCCATGTCTCTCAGTGATTCTAGCAGAAGGAACTTGGTTTAGTTGATAGCACCAGCGGCGGCACCGTAGATCTAACTTCCCGCAGCTGCGAGAGATCCGAATTGATCTCCCGCATGAACAAGCTATTTCAGTTTTGGAGAGTGAAGCCCACTCTTGTAAACTCAGACCACGGAAGTTCGGTGATAGATGTCTGCATGTTATTTGTGCGAATCCGATGGTGGACCATATCGTGCGGAACAAGAGTCTGCCGCTAGAGCAGGGGGCTTGAAAGATTCGAGCCAGCTGATCCGGCTAGATGAATCCCAAGAAGAAGGGGATGTCATCCTAAAGACCAAGCGGCCAAGTCTGTTGGGAAGGGTTTCCCCCCCCAGCGCCCCCAGTTTGTATGGGTACAGTTGGACATTGATGTTGTTTGGAAATTGACAGCCTTGTGGCCTGAAATACGCACGGACCAGATGATCTACGTGACGTAATCCCTCCACATAGTTAGCCTCCGGGGGCAATGGACCTCGGCCTTTAAACCAAGAGATCTCGTTCGTAGCTTGTTGAGAATCTTCCCACAGACTGTAATTATCATCATTTCAAATCATCTTGGAAATACCTTACCTATGCACATCCTCTCTCAAACGGAAACCAGAGGCTGAGGAGTCCGATCCGGAGCATAACAACAATCAATTTCCCAGAACTGGATTTCGAACTCGAGAACGAGAAGAGCCATGGCTGAATACAAGCTATCCTACGAGTCTCAACTGGTGCGTTCTGAAGACCAGCGGGCTTCTATCTCCTCACATCTGCATCACTATCCTGCATTAGACCATACTAACATGCTCACGCAATCAAAGGATGTCTACCACCCCTCCTACCGCTACGAATCCCATGACCCGCGTGACTGGAAATCCGCCGGTCTTCGTGGACCAGCACTTCCCGCCCTAGGAAACGCAACTGCCGGTGCAGTCGGCGCAGCCATCTCCAATGTGGTCGTCTACCCCCTCAATGTCATCGTCGCCCGTCTACAGACCCAAACCCAGAAAGACAGCGACTCGAGCGAGAAATCGGATGAAGATGAGAGTCCTAACGAAAGATATACCAGTGTGGTGGATGCTGCCTGCAAAATATACGCGCAGCAAGGTATCGCCGGCTTCTACCCTGGTCTGGCGCAGGACACTTGGAAGACCGTGGCGGATTCGTTCCTCTTCTTTCTTGCATATAGTGCCATCCGCCGGAAGAGGATAGTCGCGCAGGTAGGTGTAGAGCGAGCCGCCAAGAGCGAAAATATCGTCCTTCCGATAATCGACGAACTTGCCGTTGGTATCTTGGCTGGCTCGTTTGCGAAGCTATTCACCACACCACTGTCGAGTATCGTCGCGCGCAAACAGACTTCTGCGACACGAAAGGGTGGAAACGCGAAGAAATTGTCAACCAGCGAAATCGCAGCTCGTATTCGCGCTGAGAAGGGAATCCTAGGCTTTTGGTCTGGATACTCGGCCACCCTGATACTCACCCTGAATCCATCTCTCACGTTCTTCCTCAATGAATTCCTCAAACAGACCCTCCTCCCACGATCGAAGCGCGACAAACCCTCTCCAGCTTTGACATTCCTTTTGGCGGCCGTAAGCAAAGTCGCCGCCTCGTCAATCACATACCCGTTCTCCCTTGCGAAAACCAGGTCTCAAGTAATGAGCTCGGACTCTAAGTCTAAGTCTGGAACTGCAAAGACTCACGCTTCCCTTCTCGCCACTCTTACTCCAGAAATACTTTCCACAGTCGCCACCATCGCCCGCACAGACGGTATACCAGGGCTCTACGCCGGCCTTCACGGTGAAGTGCTGAAAGGCTTCTTCTCGCACGGCTTTACAATGCTCGCGAAAGACGCCGTGTACTCGTTTATAATCAAGAGCTACTACCTCCTTCTGATGCTGGGACGTCGCTATCCCACGCCAGACGAACTTATCCAGCGTGCCCGTGAACAGGCAGAGGAATATACCGAGATTGCACGTGAAGGAGCGCGTCACCTAGCGGAGAGAACAAAGGAGGGCGCCGAGGAGGTACTGAATGCTAATTCTGGCGGTAACGCTGTTGATATGACATCAGACTCCGCTGGTGCTGCTGATGCTGCTGGAAGTGCGGACCGCGGCATTGATGTTTCTTCAGGCCTCAAGGTTCCTGTTCCATCGGTTTCTGATGAAATAAATGAGACGGCTGAGCTGGTCGGTGATTATGTTGAGGATGAAGCGGCCGAGTGGAAGAGCCTTTATCATTGGTTTTGGGAGAAGGATCGTGGGCCGCATCGGGATTAATGTGAGGGCTAGAATATACCTAGGTACTATTTGTGAGGTTTACATATTCAGGCGTTCTTGCTGCTGTCGGTTCCTTGTTTTCTTAATGAAGTACACAAATAGTCGGCCGCATAAGCGGCCATAATCTTCTTGGTGCTTAGGAGATTGTCGGCGTCTCTGGGTTGCAGGCTGGTGGTCTCCTCAAGTAGTCTTCTCCAGTAGTCTTCTCCGATAGTCTTTTAAATGTCTTTTTAGTGGTCTTTTTAGTAGTCTTTTTAGTGGTCTTTTTAGTGGTCTTTTTAGTGGTCTTTTTAGTGGTCTTTTTAGTGGTCTTTTTAGTGGTCTTTTTAGTGGTCTTTTTTGGTAGTCTCTTCGGGTAGTCCTTTTAGATGTCTGGTTATATAGATATTTTCTCCCCCTTCTCAGTTTGCTGGGTAGACAGCAGAAAACGACCAAAAAGGGCTTAAGTTGTGGAATAGACTTTCCTAAGAATAATCTTTGATAAAAGCATTTGATTTCAATTGTCTACTCAGTCACTTGGCTCATCAAAAGCAAAGTTCCGAGGTCGAAATTCAATGCTCCTCGCTGAGTGAAAGGATGCTCCCATTGGATCTCGCCGTCAGAACCCCCAGCCAACCCTTTTGTCTGGACATGATACTCTCGAGGCGTCGGTAATCCAGCATCTGACATGATCGGCCGAGTACTCAATTGTTCTCAACTTCACTCCAACCTGGTTTGTGACTTTGGAGAGTGCCTCAAATAAGAACGCACATCTTTGTCCTCGACGGGGCCTCAATTATGATCTCGTTGAGGTGTTGGAATTGGTGAGGCTCCGATGAATTGGGCACTGTTCTGCTTCGGAGACTTTGGCATAACTTATCACACACGAGTATGAACTCGAGACCATCGTGGATTTGGAAGACGTGCAGCTCCTCAAGTGATTTGGGAAGCAGCTTGTGGAAAGGCAGCGAGCTGTTGAATGCTCCCTCCGGGTCATATAGCCGCCAGTAACTACCTTCAAGTAATTCCAATTTTCCTTCACTCTGGACAAGATACCCGCCCGATATTCGTAGTCTCTTCAAATTAACAAGATCCGTGAGGTTGAGAGGCTGAAGATACAGGTCCTCGTGTATCCTTCGATCACTTCGACTGAAGGATAGTTCAAGAGAGGTCAGGGTCTGAGATGTGTATTGAAGTGCTTGGCTCAGGTCCGAGGCTTTCAGGACCCAGTCCTTTCTCTTCGTCCAACCGCGTTGGTAGATGAAGGTTTCCAATTTGGGAGTTTCTGAGGAGCCTTCGGAGGTTAAGGGAGTCAAAAGGTGCAGTCCCAAAGCTCGAGATGGACGAGCGCACGGGAATAGCCAGGTACAGGTCTCAACCACCGTCGTGTGTTGGTCCATTTAGTGCCGAATACATGGGTCAATGTGGGAGTTAGAACAAGCACCATGAGCTAGTCATTACGGGCTATATTGTCGCCGCCTACGCCCGCCGATGACAGACTTACGAAGGTGGCAACGTTTCTCGTGGAAGCGCACATAGCCATTACGGACTCAAACAGGCGTCCTGGCATTTGAATCACAATCTCCTTGGGGACCACGTCTGTCTCGGTGTCACTTTTCAGCATAGCTACGTACTCGGAGTAGCTGTTAGCCACTTTACGTCCGTTGATGTTGAGTTCAAGGTCAGCCCCGGACAAGATTCTGTCGACGTCGGCTTTCAGGTGGGTGAGCTTAGACAGCATAGGTGGAAGCATAGTCGCAATGCCATTTTTGTCGGTCTGCACCAAGCGTGCACCGGCGACAGCGATCAAAACACGTTGAACCAGATTCCATTCTGCGATTGGGGGAGTAAATAATAGCATCTCAGGCTCTATCGTGATCTGAGACGTTCCAGGGCCAGCAGATACCCCAGAAGAACACCTAGTAACGCATCTGACTGGGGTACATCGGGCTCAAGCGCTTTGTGCATCGCCGTCCTGATTTCTGAATGTAAGGGTAACTTCATGCCGGCATCCATAATAATCTGATGGTCTCGTGAGAAGGGAGGTTGAAGAATGAGCCGCGAAGCAAAGGTCGTGTAGGTCGGTCAAGTCGAGCGATTTCACGAGTCGCGCAAGGTGAGGCTTGCGGAGGATTGTAAGAAGAAAGCGTTCGATCTGTATATTTGGTATGAAAAAAAGGAAAAGTGATGTTTGGAAGAGAGGCTAGTACTTACGGAACGACGATCAGCGGGCCATGCCAAACCGGGCCAAATCCGGTGATGAGGGAAAGCCCCAAGAGATACATGGGCGTACAGCACAGGCATCTCCAGCTGATGTAGCTCCCTGTTGCAGACAGCCACACGGCTCAGTGTCAAGTTATTGCGCTCAAGCTGACTATTGATAAGAATCTTGATTTTCTGCTGGGAGATTTTGGAACCCCGTCTTCGGAGCAGGAGGGACAGGAGGGGTAGGATAACACAGAGGGAGAAAAGCCATGGGCGAGCAGAACGCCATATTTGGTAAAATTGAATTCTGACTGAAGGCGGTGGTAAAACAAGAAGCAAGTAAGGATGAATTAAGGTGAAGGAGATGGAAGTTCAAGGGGAATGGCCAACCTGTCTCATCCATATATGTACCAGTCGCTTAGTCGTCATGGCGATTGCTTACATCGTCAGAATAGCATCTCTGCAGCGAAATATGTTGACAGGTTACCTATATGTAGTTCGTGTTGTGTGCACACGCAAAAATAAGAATTGCCCAAGTGCAGAGGTTGGTACGCAGAAACTACTGCAACACGGACAAAGAGAAAGACATCTATGGTATAGCACCGGGCTCATAGCCTGTTGAGGCTGCACGGAAACTGAGCAACTGAGAGAGTGGGGAAAATCAAGAAGAAGAAGAAGCTGCTGTATTCCAATCTAGCGAAAAGAAAGGCCTTTTATAAAGGCCATAGAGAGCAAACAAGAAAGGCTCAGTTTGAAAAACCAGGCATCCATGCACCTATGGGAGATGAGATCATCTAACAATAGCATAGCTGTGAATCGCAACTCCCCCAACTTTTGACTGATATTATTGGGGTTGGCTTCAAGCAGGACAAGTCAAGCAATACGGATGGTTACGGTGGTCTTCTATTGGTTGATATCCATCAGGTACAAATGAGGCTGGCAAATTGTCGCCACGTCTGTTTAGGACTGTGATGAAATAGATTGCGATAGAATCCCCATTGTCTCTCAAGCATCGCCAGCTGTCGATAATAGTAAACAATGTTCACGAGGCTTCCTGCATAGTATTTAGGTGCATACACCACAGAGGGTGGAAAACAGTAGCTCCAAACGTTATCACCGAGACTTGGATGTCCACTTGGATTTCCTACTCCAACTCGATGCAGCTACCTAGGTATGACCGTAATCAAAGGCTAGTTATACATAGAAGTTTCCGTTTTACAAATTAAGCCTTTTTTGGTCCTTTTCTGCTGTCTACGAACAAACTGAGAAGGGAGAAAATATCTATATAACCAGGCATCTAAAAAGCCTGAGGAGACTACTAAAAAGGTGCACTAAAAAGACATATAAAAGACTATCCACGACTACCCGAGAAGACCACCAAGGAGATTACGGCCGCATAAGCGACTATGCTTGTGACGATAATCAGGTAATTGCCTACTTTGCCCTGCGAGACCGCTAGAAGACTGGAATCAATAAGCATCTAGACTTAGTCACGGCTTCCAATACCACATCACCAGTAGCGTAGTGATTTTGGTTGCCTTGGCTGGCACATATCGGAGATGTGGTACCTATCTCTGAAATGTGTACTATTTCTGAAGATATTCCCTGCAATGAATTGTGAATGTGACCGTGGATAAACGGCTAAGTGGCTTTTAGCGCCGTCCATGTCTATGTATCAGGTGCAGGGGATATAAAGACATACACAGCTCTATATCCGTCACTCTCATCATTCGCCGAGCTTGAAACTCGTACCGGAGGAGCGTTCCTTGTCAATGATTGTCTTTGAGTTATCTGATATTATTCTATCCAACTTACAATTATATTGCCATCAAATTGACCTTAGTTTCACAGAAGTAATCATATTATTGCGTCAACTTGCCAATTGAAGTCGAGCTGTGATAGTTCAAGAAATCGATACACATCGTTCACGACGAGCGAAGATTATCCTTTAACAAATCACGGAGCGAATTAGTATAAATCTGATCGAGCGACAATACTTCTTAGGTCGGGATCCAGAGGATACGTCCCTGTGGGGTCTGTATTTTGCCTATCGCCTCTGTGGGGCCCATATGAGTAGTGAAGCACTGCATAGCCTTGAAGTGGTGAGGAGCCTGCGTGAGGGGCTCGTAGGTATTGATGTAAGGTGGAATGTTGGGCGTTTATCTGTAGCTATTGGAGGCCTAGGAGGCGATCAATTTAGAGCCGTGAGCTTGGTGTGATCTATATATTATTCCCTCTATGCTTCCATATATCGGATGATAGCTAAGGTGTGTATAGGGCGACTAGGACACTAAATTCGGTGTAAAAGCCTATATAAGGTAAAGGTGATGATTGTAGTACTAACCTATATACAAAAGTGATTTGATTATAGTCCGGGTAGTTAATATTTAATGTAGCGGCTAGTATTAACTATGGGGTACGATCGAGCTATATCCAAATATTATCTTCGCTGAGAAGTCGGTTAAGAGGTAATAGAGAACTGGCCTAATAGCCTAGCCGCTTGATAGAGTACGGCAAATTTACTTATATGTCCCGTTATTAGGGACGAGAGAGTGGAGAACCCTATCGGGTTTTACGGTCTAATTTAAAGATTAGTAGTAAAAAGACCAAGATCACGAATTGATATACCTCCTAGTCCTATATCGTATCATCCGCTAGGTGAAAGTCATCTAATTTTGGATCTATAGTTGTATTTGGGCAAGTCCTGGACACACTAGATGTATGTACTACCTTTAAAAAGTAGCACGTGCCCTAAAAGCATAAAAAGTTAAGATAGTTATAGCACTAGTTCGCGCTAAGATTTAAGCAGCTTCCAGAAACAGAGTACTGTAATGGCAGGGATTTACAATGTACGGTAGACTTGGTAGAATTTGTACCTCCAACTATCTCTACACCGTACTCCGTATTAAGTCCTTAATGTGTAGCAAATATAACCCCTGAGATCCCGTCTCTTATCCACGCTTGGACCGAGCTCACTGGCTCTTCTTCTCATTCTGAGGCTCCGCTGCCACAAAGGCACCGCGTAGCTCCTTTGCCGCCTCCCACAACACCCAAAGAGGGATAAAGACCCAGAGGGTGTTGAAGAAGAACAAGTACAGCCAAAGGTAAACCGGATCCTCAGTAGCCAGCTGGGAGCTTCCGGTCAGCCACTCCGGCGCAAATGTCATAAATCCACCATACAACTCTGCCGTAGCAAGCATTGTTGAAACCAACCACAACGTCGCCTTAACACCACCACGGGATTTGGCACTGATCTTCTCATTCGACGACCGGCACAGCAGATAGCAGATGTATATCGCAGCTGGACCACCAAGGAAGACGGTCAATAACTCCAGCGAGACGACAGTCAAATCAGCGCCAGCCCAGCGGCGGTCAGCCTTAGCGTATTCCTGCCACAGACGCGAGCTAGGCCCAGTCCCGTAAGCGGGACCATAGATACGGGTTGGGTCGTTGAGGAAGAAGGGCTCCAAGTTATTATTGCCGGCGACAGTGGTGTAGCTGAAGAAGCATTCGTAGAGGAAGGAGCCTTCGATGAAGATGTGGGTGAGGGCATCATAAGCATGCCAGAAGAAGAGGATACGATCGCGTGTCCTGTGGGCTGGGACAAGTGTCTTGCTCAAGAGGTACGCGATTGGCATCATCGAAAGCGAGAATACGATACAGAGGACTGTCGTGGCGTCCAAGGTGAAGGACGCGGTGGACGCCATGGTGGATTTGATTATTTGGAGATCGTGTGAGGGGGTCTATGATGGTAGGTGAGCTTGTAGATGTCTCGGCCTGGTGATATCAACACTTTTTTTTAGATGTGTTTCATGCTTCGTGGAATCAATTGAGAGCTAAATGGGGGTGTTTGATAGGAAAGAAAATAAAAAATTAGGGGCTGAGCTGTCGCGACGATCAAAAGTTGGTGCCTCAGGCAGAAGGTGGGTCGTGAGTGCAATTTCTATAGGAGTTCGGAGAGTATGGGGGGAGATGTACGTATATCTGCAAGGGTTTTTGCCTTTGTTTCAATTGAAACATGCAATATCCTTGGAGCTCGTTCCATATTATAATGTTTGATTTTGCTTGAACCACCTTGACAGCAAAATGCAGGGAATAAGTGGATGCTTTCTACGCGTTCAACTTCACGTCCTACCTAAGATGGAAAACATCGATTGGGGAGAAAATATAATGATTTTCTGGCCTCTCAATCGCTTGCATGGTTCACATCCAGCTTGTCGTTACCTGACGCCACTTTTTACTACGCTTCTTTGTTTGCCTGCAGCACCCATAGCCGAGTGGCGCGTCATCAAAGAAACATGCGATTTGGAAAGGCCGTCTGCATTCTCCACCGATACCCATTCATACTGTTGATTCAGTTTGGCCAATACATATGCGTGAATGACTGACTTGGAAAGTACCTGTGGTTGGTTGCACCCACCGAATAGTCGAATCAACCCCGATCCTCGTATTGGCTTGGAATGCTTGGCGGGTTATCATTTGAGGCTGTCTCTTTCACACCTATTACTATAATGATTAAGCGATCTTCGGCTTGTCTCCGGGCAACACTTTGTTATATTTCACTGCCTACCTCAGTTTGGACCCGTTGAAAGGCATTCTGTTTACCTAGTCCTGTGGATCATGACTTGGGGAGGATTGCGCCTCTCACAGCCTCTTGTCCGCCCGCTCTCAAACTGTACAGTCTTACTGAGGGTGCATTTTGTTCTCAAAAATGCATTCAAGTCTCGGGATTGTCGAGATCCCCGCCCTCACCAAGGTGACATGGGACCTATACAACCAATGCCAGATCATCGCGAAGGATGCTCCTGCAGGATTCCAAAAGCTAGTGACTGAGCTGGGCTCATTACAAGACACCTTGCGCACCTTTCCCGATGATGTGGATTCTAACGCATCCTTCGAGAAGATGGATGAGGATCGCAAACAGACGTTCGGACGATCCCTCGGTGCTTGTCTCGCCACCCTACAACGACTGAAAGAGCTCCTTGCCCGGTTGAAAGGCTTCGAAACTGGCGATGGAAAAGGTTTCTGGCAAAATATCAAATGGGCGACGCAACGAACTCAGATTGAGGATATCAGATCTAAGATCATGATGCACACTTGCAATCTGAGCCTATGCATAAGCTTTATAGGGAAGTGAGTTTGCTTTGGTTGTCTCAAGTCTAGGGTTCAAGGTCTAATTGGGCTAGCGCCTCGCTTGCTCGTATAGGGAAGACAATTGTTCTGGCGATGGAAGAGGATGAACAGATTGTTCTCAGCACAGAGGCATCACCTGTTCGGGATACAGACTCCGTTGTCTCGCCGATGAGCCCGGGAGTGGTGGAGCTACCAGCTAATAACGAAGAAGAGTGCGAAATAGACATAATCCAGGAATTTCGCGCCAGAATGTCGAAGCTAGCTGCCAACCGAAGCTCCGTGGGCAGCAGCAGCAAGGTCAAACCTACATCCACATCCTCCGAATCTGCGATAACTACATCCGACGATTCGCTCTTCGAAACTATGTCAGCGACTTCTTGGTTGTCCTTAGACACATCAACAATGTTACCTAGCCGAATAAACCATACGCGAATGCGCAGTGAGCGCCTTCTCTTAGGCGGCTCGACTGACGGTCGGACACTCGATGGTGGAATATGGGCGAACGACTCCGACCTGGCGGAGAAACAAGTTGTACATCACAGTAGATCCTACTCTGATGCTGAATATGGCCATCCTCGCATTATCGAGGCTGTGACGTCCGCTATGCAACATCTTCGTGACGTTCGACACCAGGAGCATATCTCAATGCCAATACGTTTTGAGCCGCAGAACCAACTACATAAACCAACTCCCGAAACATTAAAGATATTCGACGCATCAGTAAATGACGGGTTCCAGATCACAAGACTAATCACAAGAGATTGGCTTCGCGTGGCGACTTGGTGGTTGTTGAAAGTGAGGTCCCTGTGTAAAAAGGACATCTGGACAGGATTCAAGATTTACTAACGGTTTATCAAGGCACGCGCGACTTTAGCAAATTGCAACAGACATAACTATGTCAGTGCCTGTGGCAGTCTGAGTCCCTCCACGGAATTAAGAACGACCAGTCACCAAGCTTATCTTGACCTCCTCAAGGCGTCATATATCCTGTACGATATCGTTCTGGAGGAAGAGGCGTCTCCTGCTCTTTTGGGTGATGAGGATCGCAAGTCAATTGTCGAGCTTTCTGAAGTCGGTGCCTTCGTATTGTTTGCTACAACCTGTGACTAATTCAATATAGGGCATAAATGAGGAGCTTTCCCAATATACTTCCGTCGATATCCCCGAACCGTCGAATCTACATACCCAAAACCTCGCCATTTGGGAGCCCATGCAGCCAGAGGAGACTTGGGATGGCGGCGTTGATCTAGATCTTGGCTTGGATAATTTGCGCTGGATCGCCGTCGATCGAGAAGATGCAGGCAACGAACAGGAAAAAGTTCTCTACCGCACCTTTGTCAACGCCGGCATCGGGGGCAAAAAGTCTCGCATGCGCACCAAGGGTGCTCCTTATATGCTTTTGTTGGCAACCCGAGAAGGTGAAAGCGAACCTAAAATTGTTCTCTGTAACCAAAGTGGCACTCTGTGTCTTGAACGAGACTGTAAGTGACTGTTCTTGCAATACCCTCTCATGGAGTTAACCGATGGTGTTAGTCGTACTGGATGATCTACCACCCCTTGTCCAATTATCAAATGCCGCTTTGACTGGCTTCCCTGGCGCCCGAGTCTCAGAACCTGTGCCATTCAAATTTGATAATATAAGCGTTTCGATATCATTTCAGTTCGATGGAGATCTCGCACAATTCATCAATATTCCGAAAGCTTACTTTGATGCCGTATGGCAGAGAGAACCAGTTGATGCAACCGAATTTACCGAGAGCGTCGTCTTCAAAAGCTCTGTTGATATGTTCGAGCAGCTGAACACGCCGACTATGAAGTCAATGAACCCGCAAGTCGTAGTGAAATCCTGCGAGGTGCGCATTCTAGAACGGGCTTTCGGGGAAGCCTGGCGGTCTATCAGACGCATGGTGATCACTTCCTCTGCTGCTGAGAAGTCACCACGAACTATGGAACTTTTCATGCCTCTCAGTGGAGTCCAGATCGGCCGAGGAGGTATGTCGCGCCAGATGGTCTTGCAGTGGTCCGACACATGCCAGGCGCGATCTGATCAGACTGATGGCAATTACAACACACTGCACTCCTACGTGTACAATGACACTACTCCAAATATCGGTGTCGGTTTACAATTTCACTCACATCAAGAGGCGGAAGACTTTGAAAAAGCTGTCCTAGAAATGAACTTCCGTCCAGAGTTCTCCTGGTCACAGCCCAGTGGCTCCGGTCTCATCTACAATGTGGTTGATGCTGGCACCGACCACAAGCAATACAAAGCCGTGCTAGTATTCCGAAATCGTGCATCATGGCGATATTCAGATCTGTACTATATTTACCGTGACGCTGACTATATATACGACCACTCCTCGTTCAGCATCCATTTCCCCCGCATCTACTGCACGGATTACATCTCAACTCACGTTGACCAGCTCTACCATCCAGAAAGCCCTGTCACATTCTCCCACTGCGACAAGAAGACCAGCCAAACAACCATCGAGTTTGGCAACGACCTTGTAGCCCGCTCATTCCTCAGCTCCCTCTCACCTTTGTACGAACTCCTCTACTCCCGGCGTATCCAGTCCCTATCAAACAAAAGCAATTCTGTCTTTGGTTTCCAAATGTCCGGCAAGCGCAGCGCCGAGATCCAACTATGGCGTCGGGGAACGAGTTTCCAACTTGCCGCACGCTGGGATGAATTCGTGCCGGACAAGTGGCTTACCATGACTGTTCCGTCAGAATTCATCGATTGCTCAAAAGAGAATACCCGAGTCAAACTTCCACGTCTTCCGTACTTGCGTGGTATGACACTTGATATGATGAATATTATGGCTCGGAGCCCTAAGAACTCCAATGCCAAAAGCAAAGAGGGTGCCATGTCAATTTCTTTTCAAAAAAGTGAAGGTCAGTCTGCCTACCCCTCTTGGAAATGATTTCTTACCCTTTCTATTGTGCTAATCTATATCGGGATGAATCATAGACCGAAATGAGTTTCTGGCTGTTTTACAAGGGCAGCAGTTGCCGAAGTTCTTATAGAATAGTCTTCTCAGGTTCAATAAACAATTTCAAAATCGCCCTCATCCTTGAAGATCTTGCCGTAGGTGTCCAATAGTACTGATCGAAACTCCAACCTTTTATAAGGTGGTAGATGAAAGAACGGCCATGCACGCGAAGCGTTGGGAGACTATTTTCCACACGCGGTATGACAGTTTGTTTGACCGTAAGTCCGTAGTACGCCTGAGGGTATAATCACGCGGCTTGATGTATCTAGTAGGCTCCAGATGTGAGATTACAATTTAATCGTGCAGTAAACAAATAAATTGAATTCGATAAAAAAGATGATTCCAGGCAGAGATCGACTCTGGCCATCTTTTAAGGAGATCCCAAGGAAACTGGGGAACCTGGTTCGCCCACGGTTTAAACAGCGAGCTTACCCACACCCCAAGTAGAGGTAGAGGGACGTTGCCCAGATGAGGGAGTTGAGAATACCGCTCAGCCTATCTGCTGGGTTGGGATATAATATGGTGAGGTCATATTTAACCATAACTATGTTGGTGCTTGAGGTTTCAGATCAGAGCTCTGTACATAATGTAACTTTGTCATTCTCTACATAAACAAGATGCAGTACCACCTGTGGACAGAGCTAGATATTTGGGTATCAACGGCTTTCCCAGAACTGCGCATCAATAGCAACCAACCGATTGAACAGTTGATTCCGTGATCTCATGCCAGTGAGATGGTATGACTGGCCTAGCTCATCACCGTTAACAACCAGCCCATCCGCAGCCTCCTTGCTCCCAGCTGTTAGTTCAACAATCAATTTCCCCTTCCAGCCCAGTCCTTCCGTCTTCTTCAGCTCTTTGATTTCGGTGACAGGAATCTGGAACAGAACAGATCCCTTCTTCCTACTTTCGATGCGTAAATCATCTAGTCCAGCGGATTGATATGTGGTGAAATACAAGACAGGGGGCTCCTTCGACGAGTCAATGACTGCCGCACCTCTCTTGCGTTCGAACTTTGCATCGAACTTCAAAGGCCCGAAAGGCGTTGCGGCAAAGTGTCCATTCTGCAGCATTCCAATCAGATTCTTGGTATGTGCGGACCCTGCAATGGCCATGGCTCGGTCAAAGGCAATATGGCCCTTGATTGCCGTAGATATTGTGCGCCGGAAGAACTTGAGCAGCTTGAACACAAATCTCTTCTTCGGCACCTTTGTTTCCGGAAGTGATTCGGCGGAGTTTGTCGAGTGAAAGTCCACGGATGATCCCTGCCTGCTGACGTCTGTAGAGCTCGCTGCCTGTGACTTTTTGCGGCGGATGGGCCATACCGGCTCGTTGTCATCGGAGGACGGGGCGGGTGGTAGTGGCGAAGAATTGATCTCGCCAATTCGGAGCAGGGTCAACGTGAGCTGCGCGTTTGTGGGAACGCCAGCCAAAAGTGTCCTGTACCTAGAGTAAGCAACGCAATAAAGCCCAGAAAGAAAAGAGTGCTAGCATACTTCTGCAAATCGAGATGATCTTTCCAGTTTGGCACTTTAGCGTTCAGCAGATCAAGGGTGTAAGTGAATATTGGGTCCCCAAAGAAGCCTAGTCCAAGTGCGAAACCAACGAGCTTGATGATCCAATAACTAGATGTGAAAGGTATAATAACAGACACCACGGTGAATATGCTCGCAAGGCGGAGTCTAGATGTAACCAAAAGGAACGGAGGTGTTGGAGAAAGGATGCTATTACGTCGTTAGTATCCCGTGCCCGTTTATCATTCCAGAATGCGCTCACTTGGCGAATTTCTCATAGATATCAGTAATATCGCTCAAAATACGCATGACATTATCAGTCGCCTGTGATACTTTCTTTTTCATGGGCTTCTTGGTCTTGTCTTCAGGAGAATCGCCGGTCGGGGTGCCGTCTGCAGCCTCGGCAGCTTCTAGGCTTTCAATGAGCGCAGGTCTGTCGGGGGCGTCCTCTGGAACTGTTTGACCATATTTGGCCGCTGCACTCTCCATAGCAACAGTGGCAAAGCTATCAATCAGGTTCTTTGCTTCTTGTTCAGCGGCTTCACCCTTGTGGTTTTCGGGGGCGCCCGTGAGACTATCCTCAGATTGGAGTTGCCCTTCTGTAGGACTGCTTCCATTTGAGTCGTCTGTCCTTACCAACCTAGGGAATAATAATTGCCGAGCGGGCGGAACCATTATCAAGGCTACGACGAGACCCAAAATGGTTGGAACCAAGAGATCCACGCCCCAAGCGACAAGATAGCCCTGCTAATTATTAATATCGTATACAAAAATCGACTGATCGTAATGCACGTACCGCGCAGAATATTGTTGTTCTCACTGGTTCCTTCCATGATCGCAGGTGAGTGATATGGCGGAAAAACTCAGTCACTCCGACAACCACAGAGGTATAAAATCTCTCAAGCGTCATGCGCAGCTTTTCGGGGGGAAACTGCTCATTTTCTGTGCGATTGAGATCCAAGTTCAAAGAAGTGGTATCATGAACCGCTTTCACGTGGTAGATTTGCTGGTCACATGTCAGCGATTATTCTCAACTACTAGAGACCACACTAACCTTGTCAAATCGTCGGATCAACATCCATAGGTCTTCATTGGACAGACCCTTGGCCAGAGTCTCATCTACTCTCCGCGACGATGCCTTCCATTGAGTGTTGGGCGGTCTCGGGCTCAGTGTCTGGAGAGGGCCAGGCTCTGGGGTCTGGGTGAGATTGTGGCTCTCATCGTCCAACTCTCCCGGTATTTGTGATCCATTGCTCATATTCAATATTATCGAAGAAAATATACTGAGAGAGAAGCTTGGTATTGCCTCCCACCTGGGCAGTGGAGGTTGGCCTAGCGCGTACCCCATGTTGACCAAGTGTGGTGGTTGACGTCATGGCTTGGCTATTTTTGGAGAGCTTTGACCCCTTGTTCCAGACAAGGAAGGCGGTACATAAAAGCCCCACGTGGCAGATGTTCTTCTATCTTCATGCAATGATTATTTATATATAGTTAGCCTAAACTAGAAGAAAAAGCTAAGTTGCAATAATAGGTGCCTATCTAGGTAGCCTAGAGCCTTACGACTATATAAATCAATTATTATAACCTTAGGAAGGTATAAATGCCACGGCCGCCTAGGTAGCCTGTAACGGATAAAGATCCTTACAAAGAGAATACCATGTCAGGCAGCCTTGGCAGATCGACCG